AAAACACGTGTCGTGTATTTATTTATTTTTTTTCAAAAATATATTCCGAACAATCTCATAAAAGTAACTCTCGCTCCAAAAATCAGAATTTTAAAATACATCCAGAATGTGAATCACTAATGAAATGCTACTGCGTTTATAAGCCAAAATGTAAGACGCAAGCAGATTTAATAAAATTTAATCGTCTCTTTTCAAAATGAGTTTTCTTATACTTTTTCCCCTTTCTTTTAATACATGTATTTTATTTTTGCCTTATTTTTATTTCTCTATCAGGAAATTTTGAATATTGCATTAAAACCTAAACTGTCAGAAACTTCAGCGCAAAGTAGTTAATACTTTCGGAGTAAATTTTGCTACGTTCGAAGCAAATTTTACTACGTTCAAAGAACATATTTGTAAAAAATTAGTAAAATTTACTTCGAACGTAGAAAAATTTACTCCGAAAGTAATAAAAGTTACCAGAAATGTTTTACTATAAAAGTAGTAAAAGTTACTTTATATTTTTCTCCGTGTACATTAAAAAAAGAAAAAAAAGTAATGAAAAATTTTTAATGAAATAAATGAAATAATTAATTATTAAAATCGCAATTTGTTTCACATAAAAATTAATTTTTTATTTATTATTATTTATATATTATAGTTATTGTTGTTATAATAATTATTATTATTATTATACTATTAACATTAACTAAATAAAATTAGGAAACATTTTTTAGTTCATTAATTTCGCTAATTTTTCGATTTCAATTAATTTAATTAATTTTTGCTTCCTTATAAGGAAGCTTTGCATTCGTGACGATTTTCAATTTTCTAAAAGATGGTTATATGGACTCATTTTTATCTAGAATATATGTATATTAAATTCTGAGCAAATGTCCAGATGTACGTGTGTCTGTGTGTGTATGTCACAAAATATTGTGTACAAATTATCTCAGACACGTTTTAATGGATTGTCCTGAAATTTTATAGGTTCATTGCAGTCATTAATACCTAAAATCTGACAGAATTCTGACAATTTTTTTAAAATTAAAAAAAAAATTTTTGTATTTTTTGAAATAACTTTTTCCTATATCGAAATTTCAATTAATTCTTGTCAAAATTACATTTCTGATTTAAAAACGAATCGATTGATGTATATAAAGTATTCATTTTATCAAAATTTATAAAATTAATCGCTATTATTTATATTTTTCACAAAAAATTCAAATTTTGTATTTTTTGAAATTTTTACTTTAAAATAATTATTCTGTAATAAAAAATTAAGCAATTGGTATATATTATATTGAGGAAGCTAAATGTTCATAAAATGAACAACTTGTTTTATAATATGCCATTTGCATAAAAATATTATTAAAATGAATGAACTGAACTAATTTAGAAAAAAAAGATTATAATTCAAAATTTATAATTAATTTAATAATAATTAATTTTTATAATCAAATTACTAAATTTAAGCAATATTTTCAATGGTAAAAAATATTTAAAAATGGAATAAAAAGCTTTGACTTTTTTTTATAGGTTATAAGAATAATTACAAAAATTTCAATTTCTTGACTCACTAATTATAAAATTATAAAACAAATAATACTAATAATAATAATTAAATACAAAAAATTATATATTTACATAAAAATAAAATTATATATATTTTCAATAAATAAACATTCCTTTGGCGTAATTTAAATAATCCACAGTCATTTCAATGAGAATGCAAAATTTTAATTGGCGTGCTGCATCTAATGCTTCTATTCTGCCAAGCCCTGAACAAATGAAGGTCAAAAATTTACTCTAAAGGAAAAAGTTTAACAGTTGTCAAATTTTATTTATTTGTATCAATATGATAAAAATAATAATGAGAATAATAACAAGAAAAAAACAATAAAAATAATTATAAGAAAAAAAATAATAATAATGATAATAATAATTATTATAATTATTTGATAACATTTATTTAATAATTATTTTTCTCTTCTTTGAATGTGTTAAAAGTAAAATAAATTATTTATTAAAATTATTAAATTGTGCCTAATTATTAATTAAAATAATTTAATTAGAATTTTTATTTAGTATTTAATTAGTAATATTTCAAAAAAATAATTAGAAATTAATCAAAATAATATAAATCCTAATAAGGGTCAATTGGGGTAAATGTAAACGGAATATCTATTTTGCACCAAAAACATTAGTTTTTTTTGTTAAAAGGTAAAACGGACGGATTTTTTTTGCATGAACTTGTTACTAGAGTTCTCTAGAAAAATTTTATGAGGTTCCAAAAAATATTCATGCACCTGAATCGCCTAAAGCTGACTGTTTACATTTACCCCGAGATTTTTAAATTTTCCTAAAATTCGGGGTAAATGTTAACACCACTGTAGTTAAGCGAGGTTTAAGAAACAAGTTATTTCAAGTATACTACTGTTTTAAGGGATGGAAAAACTGATAAAAATTCTTCGTAGATGTATAGTAAATCAACCAGTTGACTGATAATGTATCATATAAAATAAACAATCAACCATTACAAAATTAGTAATGTAAAAACTTGAATAACTTGAACAAATTTTAATAGATTTTTATTCAACTTGGTAAAGAGAAGTTTTTTTTTTATTTTGCTGAATAAGAATCTAAAATCGAATTTTTAAATTTCAAAATGGTGGATCCAATATGGCGGATGAACCTAAAAATAATATTTTTAAAAATTGATCAAATTTGCTCGAATCTGGCTACTAGGGGGTTTTTGAGGTCGCTGAATACGAATTTGACGTCAAATTTTAAATTTTCAAAATGGCGGATGAACCTAAAAATATTTTTAAAAATTGATCAAATTTTCAAAAAAAAAAAATTTTTTTTTTCAAATTTTTCTTTTCAAAGAGGACCTAATTTCCTTTTCTATGTAATTTTACATTGCCAAATTAATGAAATTGTGAAATAGAAGCAAATTTATTCAATTATTTTCTTTTAAAATGTAGTTCAAGTTCTGTTTACATTTACCCCGAGTTTTCGAATTCTCGGGGTAAATGTAAACACTTAATTATTTATTAACTATATTGACGAAAATCAAAAGTCAAAGTCAATTTTTGTTACGGCATTAATAAGGAAGAATTACATATTTTTGTTTGATTTTAAAATTTATTTTTATGCAAATGCGAGACAAAATATTGAAACAGTAAAATTTTGATTTTCAATCTTTTTTGCATTAAAAAATAACTTACACTATGGCATTGCCAATTGTCAAAATAAAATATTGGCAATACTCAGAACATCTTGTACGTGAGCTGAGGTAAAAATTAATATTGACGTCGTACTTATTTTTTAATTTGTAAATTTAGCTGAAACATCTACTGTTTACATTTACCCCAAATGACCCTAAATAAACAATAATTATTATGTAAGATATAAATATAAAAAATAAAAATATTTGTATAAAAACTATTCTAAAGAAATGATTACACCGTTAATTTAGAGTTAAATTGAATTAAAAGTTTATTTAATTTAATAAATACATATTACAAATTAAATATGAAAAATTTTAATGAATTTCTGAAACGAGGAGTTTCTTTTGAATTTATGAAGACCGAATTATGATTGAAATGAAATAAAAGGAAATTCAATGAAATTCAATGAATAAAACTTAAGAAAAATTCTATTTAACCTCAACGAAAAAACTCAATATTCTCTTAAAAAAAAAAAAAAAAAACTAAACCTTTGTCACCTTTTTAAATACTTAATTCAGAATAATTAGACACGCACTTATTAACAAAAAAAGAAACGCAGTTATTGTAAAGAAGAAAAAAGAAAGAAAATAAATAAAAAAAAATTACAATTAAATAAAAACGGAATGGACCGTTGCTACTAAATAAATTTAAAATCAAAAATAAAAGAATAGAATAAAGAAAGAAATGATTTAAAAAATAAAAAATTGACCTTTGCGACTAAACAAATTTAAAATCAAAAATAAAAGAATGGAATAAAGAAAGAAATAATTAAAATAATAAAAAAGGAATGGACCGCAGCGACTAATAAAATAAATCAAAAATAAAAGAAGAGAATAAGAAAGAAATAATTAAAACTTAAAAAAATTTTTTTTTTAAATCCAGTGAAAAGCACTGAACTAAAATAATTGGGAGGGAAAAAATTGGAAAATTCGAAAAAGAAATGAAAAAAGAAAAATTTCTGCCAAGTCTGGAAATAACGGAGTGGTAAAGAAAAGGAAATAAACATATCGTTCTCTTGAGAAGAACGTTTGATTATTTCAACACCAAGCCACTAGTTTAGTTCCTTTTTCTTGACAATGCATCGTGTTATAGAAATCTTACGCCATGTCAGATTACAAAGCTCGCTCGCTCTCTCTCTCTTATTCTCTTGGGATGCAATAGAAAAAGGAAAACAAACACAACCAAAGGCAATCTTATCTTTTTTCCTATACACACACCTACACAATCAAAAGAATCTTCTGACCATGCGTATATACACTTTTCGACAAAACAGCTGTCATTGACATTGTACGTGTGCCAATACGCGCTACTTTTTCCAACTTTTCTTTTTCAACACACAACACACACACTCACTCACATAAACTAGCTTTCAAAACATTTTTTTTCCTCTCAAAAAGAAAAGAAAAAAGCTTCACTTGAAAATATTCATCTCGAATTAAAAATTAAAATCACATTACACGATTCATGGGGGGGGGGGGGGGAATGAAATAAAGCACAAAACTTCCTCGACGATCAGCTGATTCCTTTGTTTAGGTCTGTTTAGGTCGCTGACATGCACACGAAAAAAAGAGAGCTCTGCCATTTTCAATCGATATTATATGGCTGATAAGATAGAATAAAAATTGCGAAATCAGAAAAGTGACATTACATTTAAATGATTATTATCAAATGACAATTATCAGTTTAATGTAAAAATAAATTGTATAAGGTCAAATGATGCATCGCACTATTGTGGAGAACGAATTCGAAACCATTTTTCTTCTCTCTCTCGCACTCGCTCGCACTTACCTTTGTAATGAACGCGAAGATTATTTTGCGATAGTCCAATGTAGTTGTACTTGTCCTTTGGACTCCATGAACGTGGCAATGGTGTTTCATCCTCGTTCACCATTGGATAGAGCATCTTTAAACGGTCCACAGATTGATTTTGCACTGAATTCGTTCGCGATGGATCCATAACACTCCGTTCTTCGCTGGTGGCAGCCATCATTGTCATCTGCAGTCCCACACTGCCACACAACTACTGCCCCAACACACTATCAAACTATATATTACTACTACTACTACTATATATTGAAAAAAAGGAATCACTTCTATGTGTTTGTTTATGTATACGTATATGAATCTTGTCTGCCCACAGGTTTGATTTGGATGTTTGTATATATGTATGTAGGAAAGCCAGGGTCTTGCGCGCGTGTGTATGGAACGTCAAAAATTCACGTGTATGTATCGTTATTTCACGTGTGTATACACGCATACAAGTTTAGTGGGCACGAAAAACAAAATGGCGACTGAGCTCGGGCGAGCTCGAGGTAAAGTGTGAAGTGAGCGCCGCTTGCGGAACGATCATCAACTACGCCTGCTTTCTTATTGGTCCAATTCGTAGCCCGCGATATTCGAATCACTGCGACTCTATTTTTTCCCTATTTTTCTATAAATATTCTACATTTCAATTTTCTATTTTCTCGATTTCTATTTCTTTTTATTTCTACTTTTAATTTCTTTTCTTCTTATTGTATTTCACTTTTTTATTCTATATTATATTTTTCAATTCTTTCTTTAATTCTTTTTCACTTATCTATTACTTCATTTCCTTTTTATTTCTATTTTTCCTCATTTAGAATTTCGTTTCGATTAATTAAAATACGAAAATAAAATAAACACAAAAAAATATAATGGGAAAAAATTTATAATATTAAAAAATTAATTTTTCTTTTGGCGAAAATTTTTTTTCATTTTCTTTTTTAAAATTAACGGAAAAATTTCAAGGTTTATTAAATAAACATTTGTAGAAATGTAAATTTTAGAACACTTTTAGTATATAGTTAAATGATGAAATCGTTAAAATTGAGTGACAGGGGGATTGACACGTGTTTTTAAACACGTGATTACGAGCCTGGCTAGACGAACATAACCTCAAAACGTCAAAACAACACGAGACTAGTGAAAATATTCTCTTTTTTTATTAACTATTATAGTTAATTATTTATTTAAAGTGATTGAATAATATGTGCAGTGTAAATGACGACGATTGTGGAATTGAGGAAAGAAATCCCATAATATCGAAAACAAATTTGTATGTGTAATTATTTTCGATAAATTATAACTTATATACATATGGAAAATGTCATTTTTCCGACTTTTTTTCTTTGCTTTTTTGTTAATTATTACATTTAGAGAAAATTTGTGAATAAAAGTGAAACTAAATATAGAAAAATATTTAAATGTGCAAAAAAATATACGAATATAAAATGCAAATAAATATAAATAGACAAAAATAAACAAAATATGCAAATGTATACGAATTTACCGAATTTACAAAAAAGAAAAATAGTCAAAAATGGAAAGAAATATTTATATAGATAAACAAAAAATTTATATTATTAATCGTTAAATTGTTTTGAAGAATTTATTTTTCAATATTCTCGAAAATAATGAAGTTTTTTTTAATAATTTTCAATAATTGTAATAAAATTCTTTGCAAATAGTCAATTTATTCTAAATAATAAAAATCTTCGTAAAAAAATTCAATTATTGTTATATAAATAATAAAATTCTTTTTAGGATTTAATTTATTTTCAATACAATTTTAATTGAATTCTTAGAAAATTTTGAATTATTGAATTCCTTCGAAAAAATGTAATTAAAATCGTATTGAAAATAATTTAATTCTTGGAAAGATTTTTATTAAAATTCTTTAAAATAACCGAATTGTTTTGAAGAATTTATTTCAATATTCTTGAAAATAATAAAGTATTTTTTTATTAATTTTTACTGAAAATTTCGAAAATAATTGGATTTTATGAAGAATCCTATTAAATTATATTAAGATTATTCTTAGAAAATGAAATTCTTTTAAACAATTTTATTAGATTTTTTGTAAATAATTACATTTTTTGTTGAAGAAGAAGAAGAAGAAGAATTTCATTAAATTTCCGTAAAAATAACGGAGTGTCTATTCGGCCAGTTAACTGTCAAAATAAGGTGGTTTAACTATTCTAGTTAGTTTTCTTATTTGGCCAGTGTATCTAAAAAAATATACAATTAATATCTAAATCAGGCCAAATAAAAAAGGGACTCTATTTGTCCAGTCAAAATAAACAGTTTTTAATATTCCAATATACGGGCAAGCTGACATTTTGATAAATTAAAAAAACAACTAAATATATGAAGTAGAGACAATTTAACAAAAAGGGTGCAAAAGGTGAAAAAGTAAAATCAGGGAAATGACAGAAAACAAATTTTCTTGGTGGGTAAATTAAGAAAATTGAGTCATTTTTCGATTTATAAATAATTGAATTATCATTTTAATGAAAATTCTTTAAAGGGTCAGAATTTCTCAAACGGATCACCTAAAACTAAAAAATTTTCTTTTTGAACCAAAATAGTTTTTTTTGACGCTTAATATGGCTAAGAAGAATCCCTGATAATATTAAGCCAAAAAAATTTTTTTTAAAAGTTATTAACAATTGAATTTTTTAGTACTGCTAAATTAACAAATTTTTTTTCTCGAGTTCCAGTTGACGGATTTTAAAATTAAAATATGGGTTCTATTCGTCTTGAATTGCACTATTTGAATATATTTTTTGTTTTTAAATTTTTTTATTTTTTATAATTTTTTATATAATTTGTTTATAAAATGTTAATAAACAAATATGTTCTTCACGTCCTAACAAAAAAATTTAAATTGTTATTCTATTCCTTAAATGTCTCCGAGTGTAAAACCGTTTCGAAAAAAAATGAGCCTCAAATAGAAAAAAATTTATTAATTAAAAACTGCAGCTGTGTACAGCTTTACATGACGTTAAACTCGACCCGCGCACATTGGCATTTTTTACAATTTACTGTTCAAAATTGTCTGTAACCTACAAATTTTATCGGATTTTCATGGGCTTGGTCTTAAATTAAAGGGGATAAAATTTCTAAGAGATCCCACTAAACCAATTTTTGAATTTTAAATTGTTTATATTTTTTTGTTACTTAAAGTTAACAATTTACAATATTTTTAGAAAAAATCGTGTTTATTTTTGTATTTTTTCATTGCAGATGATTGGAATCAATTTAAATTAGTCCAGCATGACCATCAGACAAATAATAATGCATAATACAATTTATTTAAATTGTTGCAAACAATGTTAATTAACAAATAGATAACTTTGGTTCTTTTTTATAAAAAAATTTTTTTTTGCAGACGAATTTATGTTTATTTAAGTAATCTATGTCGATTTTAGTAAAAAATGTTTTAAAATTTAAAAATTATTATTGTTATTGACAATTGCTATGAACTATAATCAAGTTTCTTTACATTTGTAAACATTTTAGGCTTTTTTTAAACATAAAATGTTTATATAATATGTACAATCTTTCAAAAACTTTACAAATTTATTAGCACAAACAATTACATTTGCTGTAAACAAATTATTTACTTTTTAAACAAATAAATGGCTTATTTCTGCAAAAAAAAATTATTTTTCCTATTTTAACTAGTTTAAAGTCATGTAAAGCTCTACTTGATTATTGATAACTATATTATTGTTCATATGGTTGTTAATAATAATTGGTAATTAATACAGTGAACCCTTGTTAACACGTACTCGGTTAACACGAATTCTCTCTTAACACGAACAAAAATTGCGGTCCCGGCAGAGATGCATATAAACTATGTATAGAGACTTCCTCGGTTAACACGAAACCCGGTTAACACGAAACTCGAACAGTTTTTGCGGTCCTCATTTCGTTCTTAGCTCGGTTAACGCGTATAAATTGGTACCATCACACTAAGAGTTCTTTGTTCCAAATATTTTTTCACCCCTTAAAATATTTTTGATAATGTAATAATTCTATTAATCGTTTGATCAATAAGTATGAAAACGTATTTCCGTCAAATAAACATGATTTTTTCTAAAAATATTGTAAATTGTTAACTTTGAGTAACAAAAAAAATATAAACAATTTAAAATTCAAAAGTTGGTTTAGTGGGATCTCTTAGAAATTTTATCCCCTTTAATTTAAGACCAAGCCCGTGAAAATCCGATAAAATTTGTAGGTTACAGACAATTTTGAACAGTAAATTGTAAAAAATGCCAATGTGCGCGGGGCGAGTTTAACGTCATGTAAAGCTCTACACAGCTGCAGTTTTTAATTAATAACTTTTTTTCTAATTGAGGCTCATTTTTTTTCGAAACAGTTTTACACTCGGAGACATTTAAGGAATAGAATACAATTTAAATTTTTTTGTTAGGACGTGAAGAACATATTTGTTTATTATCATTTTATAAACAAATTATATAAAAAATTATAAAAAATAAAAAAATTTAAAAACAAAAAATATATTCAAATAGTGCAATTCAAGACGAAAAAAACTCATATTTTAATTTTAAAATCCGTCAACTGGAACTCGAGAAAAAAATTTGTTAATTTAGCAGTACTAAAAAATTCAACTGTTAATAACTTTTACAACAAATTTTTTTTGGCTTAATATTATCAGGGATTCTTCTTAGCCATATTAAGCGTAAAAAAAAACTATTTTGGTTCAAAAAGAAAATTTTTTAGTTTTAGGTGATCCGTTTGAGAAATTCTGACCCTAAATGTAAATTTAAAAATGAAAATTAACGAAAAATAGCTTCTAATTTTTTAAAATTCAATATTTTCAATTAAGTACATATTTCTGAAAATTCAGATATGATATATACAAAAAGTAATAACATTTTAGAATTATTTTTAACATTTTGGAGAAAAAAATCATGTTCAAAATGTTTAATTAAAATTCCATAAGAAATTAATTAGTTTTTTTTAAAATTATACAAAAATTCTTTTAAGAAATTCAATTATTTTCGAAATATTACATTAAAATATTATTAAAAATTAATTCTTCGAATTGTTTTATCATAATTTTTTAAGATTCATTATTTTCGAACAAAATAAATAAAAATTGATAAAAATTTACTGTTTTAGATTTTGTTTAAATTTCTAAGAAATAATGGTCATATTTATAAATAAAATTCTTCAAAATTTCGATTATTTTTATTTAGATACTTTTTTCAAAACTTCAATTATTTTTAGAAGATTTTACCAAATTCCAATTGTTTGGAAATGTTTCAATTGAGGCCTTGGATCCAATAACTCGCCCGACGCTCGGAGGAACGCGCAACTGCCATATGCCAGTCAGTGAGCAGTGAGCGCCTCTGGGCCACTCACTGCTACCCGACTGGTATTAGCGCGTGCCTTCGAGCGTCGGGCGAGTTATATATTGGATCCAAGGCCTCAATTGTATATAACTAAAAAACCATTATCTTTCAAAAATTATTTTAAAATATTTTTAAAAAATTAATTGTGAGAATTTCTTTGTTATAATTTTTAGAAAATATTATACTTTAATAACTTAAGAAAAAAACATGGACAATTACAATTATTATAAAAAATTTACTTTTTGTATTTGAATAATTGAATTCTAATAGAACTTTCGAAAAATTATTTAAAATAATTGATGTAGAGATGAAGTTTGGTAGTAAATTATAGAAAATAATTGAATTCAGAAAGGGTTATAATTGTTATTTTTTGAAATCATTAAAATTCATAAATTTTACTCATTTTCCGTAAACTTTCATATTTTCCTGTAAAAAAAAATTTGTCAGGGAATATAATTTTAATGTCAGTAAATTGTCAGGAAAATTGATAATCTGAAACTTGTGACCACTCTGACAATATATTAGGTATTTTTTGGCCTATTGAAAAGCTATAATTTAAATAACTTTACCGATTTAGGAAGAAATTATAAGAAAACTTCGTGAGACACAAATTTTAGGAAATGTGTGCAGAATAAAAACAAATTGCTTTTTTTCCTTCAAATGTGCATCAAGAACTTCTTTTATACTAACAACAAAAATAACAAAAAGCATAAGGTGCTCCTACTTTATACAAAAATTTTAAACGAAATGTCTATCTTGGAGCTCTTTCCCCTATATATTTATTATTTTTATAATATTAATTATAATATAAATTTCAACAAAAATTTCTTAATAAGTTTAGTTTATGTCACACTTAAAGCAGAACCAATTTACCGGTTTTGGAATTTTTTTAAAAAATTTGTACAAGATTGGTTAAAATGTTAAATAAACAAACAACCATTCAACATATATTTATACCTGATGGGCGCTTTATTAATACAATGGCCAAATAGTAAAACCTCCTTATTCTGACAGTGCACTGGCAGAATTATTTAATCATCTTATTCTGCCAGCTTTTCCCTTATTTCTAGTCACTGGCCAAATAATTAAACCACCTTATTCTGCCAGTTAACTGGCCGTATATAGACATGGTCTAAAAATAATGTAATTTTTTGAAGTGATTTTAATTGAAAATTTTTGAAATAATTGAAATTTACAAATAATTTTATTAAAAACTTTTACAATTTATAAAAATAATTGAATTGATTCGAAGAATTTTTTATCAGAATTCTTGAAAATAATTAAATTTTTATTTAAACTCTTAAAAATAATTGAATTTGAATAATATTTTTAAATATAATTGTATTCTTTCAAGAAATTTTATTAAAATAATTGAATTGCTCCAAAGAATTTTATTATTCATGAGAATAATGAAACTCTTGCGACAAATTTTATTAAAATTTTTGAATAATAATAAACAAGTATAGAAGAAGTATAAAAAATACCAAGGAAATTAAAAATTAATTATAAAATTACCATTAATTATGAATTATGAATGTTTAATTACTAAATTATTAAATTAAATATTGAAAATTATTAAAAGAATAGAAAATGTTCTGTTTTTTGTGCTTTGATAATAATCGAATTCTTTTTTTTCAGGGACGTTTCAAAATGTAAAAAATGCGAGGAAAATGAGACAGTGATTGTTTTACGGGGCAAAGATGCATATTGTAAAAATTGTTTCCTCGCCTCATCGACACACAAGTTTCGTGCAACACTTGGAAAATCGAAAATTATCCGTCCCAATGATAATATTCTCGTTGCACATTCTGGAAGTGCAGCATCGTCAGTTCTTTTACATTTAATTCACGCTGGAATGCATGAATCTGCCCACAAACGACTTATTTTCAAATCGAAAGTTCTTTACATTGACGGTAAAACGAAATTAATTAGCCAATTTATTTATTAATTTTTTTCTAAAAGTAAAGGATCTATAGAAAAGGATTTAAATTTTTAATTGAATTTTTAAAAAACGAATTAAATTTAATATTTTATTTTCCTATTATTCCTTTTCATTATTTTTTTCAAAATGACTCGAATATTAAATTAAAACTTAAAGAAAGGAATTACAAAAAAAAAAAGAATTAAATCTCATTTCAATATTATTTAATTTTACTAATTGTCTTTTTTATTATTTATTTAAAAAAAGATTTAAATAAAAATAAAAATTTTTAAAATCGAAAAAACGAAAGAAATAGGTATTAAATAAAATATTCGATGAATAAAAATGAAATATTACATATTTATTTAGAAAAATATTGAAACAAAAGGACAAAAAATGGAAATATTGAAATAAATAAAAATTAAATACATAAAAATAAAATAGTAAACAAATAATTTGATTACTTATCGAAACAAAATGTTTTATTTACAGAGGGAATTTTAGAAGAGAAAACTCACGATGAACAAAGAACGACAGTGGAAAAAATTGCAAATCAGTTAAAAACTTTCGATTTTTCTGGATTTACGACAAAAATAAATGAATCACTCTCGGAATCAGATTTGAAAATTTTCCCTATTGACTCTCCAGGGGAAGAAAATGCAAAAGAAGAAGAAGAAACAAAAAATACTTTCTTAAAACTTTCGGAGCAGTCAGCGAAAAATGATCTCCTGGTAAAATTACGCACGAGACTTTTAATACGCGCCGCACGTCATCTCAATTGCAATAAAATATTTACCGCCGAGACAGCAACTTCTCTTTCAATATCAATTTTATCAAATATCACAATGGGTCGTGGAGCACATCTTTCATTGGACGTTGGTTTCGCTGATACACGCATTTCGGACATAATGATTTTACGACCAATGCGCGCCTTTACAAATTTGGAAATTGATTACTATCAACGTTTTCACAAAATTCAAAGTCCACTCGAATTTCCTAAAACTACGAATCAAAATTTAAAATCAATACAAACGTTAATTGATCAATTTGTCAATGAAATGGATAAGGAATCACATTCAACAGTGTCGACCGTATTGCGAACGGGCGAAAAACTTTGTACATTAATTTCTGATGAGAAATTTGAAAAATACTGTATTTTATGTAATTCACCGCTTGATACAACGATTAATGGTGATATTTCCGCACTACAAGCGATTAATTACTCTGAATTTGTTTCGACAAACGTTGTTGAACCCCACAGCGAAAAAATTGAGCCGAATAGTGAAAATTTTATTGGAAATTGTGAAACAAATGACGAGAGAATTGGAAATTCGGAAAATAATTGCAATTGCAGTAGTGGTAAAAGAAATTGTGGGGAGAAAAATGAAAATATTTTGGTAATTTTGAAAAATAATCTCTGTTATGGCTGTCGTTTGATTGTTGTTAATTTTAAGGATGTTAAAGATATTCCATCGTTTATGTTAAATAAAGCGAGAAATTTAATGTCATTTGAGAAAATGCATGAGGAAATTGCTGATTTTTTACTATGAGAGATAAATAATAAAAGTAGAATTTCAAAAATTATGTCTAATTTTCTATGAGTTGAAAAGAAAAAATTCTTTTTTACTTCTTACAAATTTCTTTAAACCTAAAATATTTTTAATTTTAAAGATACCTAATATTTTCAAATCGTAAAAGAAATTTTTTGTAAATTGAAATGAAAACTTTCTGAATCAAAAAAGGTTTTTAGATTATATTCTTTAAAATAAAGAAAAAAGTAATCATTTTCTCTAGTAATTTATTTTCTTTATAAATAAATAGAAAATTGACAAATTTTCCAAAACTAAACAGAATTCTTTTTTATAAATTTAAAAAGAATTATTTTCCAAAACCAAAAATAACATTTTTTCAAAATTTAAAAAGAATTTTTCTTCATAGGAATTTATTTTCTTTCTAAATAAATAAAACTTTCCAAAACCGAAAACAATATTTTGACAAATTTAAAAAAAATTATTTTTCTAATCTAAAAATAATTAGGGTCAGTTGGGGTGAATCTGGACAAAATACCTTTTTTTCACAAATGACGTAAGTTTTTTATTATAAAAGGCAACACTTCCGATTTTCTATTACATTAATTTCTTCCTTGTGTTCCCTAGATTAATTTTATGGAGCATAAAAAAATTTTGATAAGCTTTAATCGCATAAAACTAACTGTCCGGATTCACCCCACGATTTATTTATTTATTTATTTTAGAAAATTTCCTAAAATTTGGGGTAGATCCGGACAGCTTAGTTTCTAAAAAAGGTTTTAAAAAAAGTTACCTAAAGTATACTACTGTATTAAGGGATGGAAAAACTTGAAAAAAATTCATAGTAGATGTATAAAAGTTAAATTAGTTAAAAGTTATAGTATCACAAATGTTAAGGAATCAACCATTCAAAATAAGTAGTAATGAAAAACTTAAATAAGTTTAACAAAATTCAATGCATTTTAATTAAATGTAGTAAAGAAATGTTTTTGGGGTTGCTGAATAAGAATCCGAAGTCAGATTTTGAAAATTCAAAATGGCGGATCCTATATGTCGGATAAACGTAAAATTTTTCTAATAAATTGATTAATTTAATTGATTTAATTTAAGCAAATTTGCTTGGATCTCGCTACTTGGGGATTTTTGGGGTCGTTGAATACGAATCCAAAGTCAGATTTTGAAAAATCAAAATGCCGGATCCAATATGGCGGACATTTTTAAAAATTGGTCGGATTTGCTTGAAAATTGTAACTCGGGGGTTTTTGGGGTCGCTGATTACGAATTTGAAGTCACTTACTCTCTCTACCGCTCTTTCATTCTCTCTTATACTCTCTACTTTTTAAAATGTAATAGAAGCTCTGTCCGGATTTACCTCAAGTTTTCGAATTTTTGGGGTAAATTCGGACAGCTTGTCATTATTAAATAAATTGACAACAATCAAAAATCCAAGTCAATTTCTCTTTCGGGAGTCAAAAGGAATAATAACAATGTTTTGTATGATTTTTAAGTTTGTTACTTTTCAAATGCGAGATGAAATACTGAACCAGTCTGAAAATTGATGTCAACTTTTTTTTGCATTAAGCGACAACTTTAATTATCCTGTTGCCAATTGTCAAGATAAAAACTTGGCAATACTCAGAATCTCTTGTAGGTGATCTGAGCTGGAAATATTGACGTCGAACTTAATTTTTAATTTGTAAATTAAGCTCCAAACCCTCTTGTCCGCATTTACCCCCTGTCCGGATTTACCCCAACTGACCCTATTTTCCCTAGGAATTTATTTTCATTTTTGAAAATAATTGTATTTTGTCGAAGAATTTTGCTATTTTCTTTAATAATAAATAAAAAATTAATAAATGTACCAAAAAGTAAAAAGAATTTTTTTACAAATTTAAAAAGAATTAGTTTCCAAAACCCAAAATCTATATTTTGTCAAATTTAAACAAAAAATGTTCTCCCTTGGAATTTATTTTTTTTCTAAATAGCTAAATACGTATATAAATCAATTTTTCAAAACTAAAAAGAATTTTTTCCACAAGAAAATAATTTATTTATTTATAAAAAAAATAAATTTCTTGAGGAAAAAATCTCTTTAGATTTGAAAAATTTATTTATTTAGAAAAAAATGAAATTCTAGGGGAAAAAATTCTCTTTAGATTTGGAAAATTTATTTATTTAGAAAGAAAATAAATTTTTACACTGCGAGACCTTTGGGACTGTAGCGGAACAACGTATGTGACAGCAGCTCCACTATGGTTTTGGTGCGCTGCGGTAAAATTTTGGGCGCGTGACAGTCCCAAATGTTGGTGAGCAGCTCACCGAAGTAGTTGCAGCTAAACAACTTTTGGACTGTCACGCGCCCAAAATTGTACCGCAGCAACCCAAAAGTATAGTCCTGTAGCGTACCACCAAAATGGTCAGTAGTAGCCTATCGAAAGTCTGCTGCTGACCCAAAGGCAGTGTAAGAAAAAAAATTCTTTTTAGTTGTCAAAAATAATACAGTAGAACCTCGATTGTCCGAGGTAATGTGGGGAAGTATAGTGTCTCGGATGATCGAAAACTCGGATAACCGAGGTTCTATTGTACTTTTTAAATTTTGGAAAAAATTTTTGTTTAGTTTGCAAATTTTTTTTATTTATTTAGAAAGAAGGAAAGAAAATTTCTAAGAAAAAAGATCTGTTTAATTGTGGAAAATTCGTTTACGAAAGAAAGAAAGATATTAATAAATTTCTTAGTAAAAAAAATGGTTAATTTGTGGAAAATTTATTTATTCATTTTGAGGAAGAAAAAAAAATAAATTTATGAGAAAAATAATTCTTTTTAATAAATTTTGTAAAAAAATCTTTTTAATTATGAAAAAATTTGTTTATTTATTTAGAAAGAAAATTTTCTAGGAAAAAAAATTCTTTTTATTTTTGAAATATTTATATTTATTTATTTGGAAAGAAAATCAATTCCTAAGCAAAATGTAATTGTTTTTAGCTTTGGAAAATTTATTTATTTTTTTATTCAGAAAGAAAAAGAAAAAAAAACATAAATATTATTATTTTAAATAATTTTGTTTATACACTTGGAAAAAATTTCTCTTTTCAGTTGTGAAAAATGTATTTATTTATTTAAAAAGAAAAATAAATTTGTAAGGGAATAAATTCTATTTTGGTACATACTTTTGGAAAATTTATTTATTTACTAATTTATTTGAAAAAAGAAATAAAATCCTATCGAATAAAATCTTTTTTGTTGTGAAAAATTTATTTTTAATTAAATCAAGTTGTTTTTGAATAGAATAAATTTTTGTTTATTATTAATTATCAAATTGTTAAAAAATAAAAGAGAAATTTATCTTTTTTTAAATTTTCTCTTCTTTCCATTGGCAGCACTGGAAAATAGTGCAAATATTGATCGCTAGAGGAAGATTTTTAGTCTAAGTCTAAAAAAATATTCACAAAAAAACATTGTTTATTTTTGGTCATTATAAACAGAATTTTAGCAAAGAAAATAATATTCTAATTACTTTAGTTCAATTATCAGGTATTTATGAACTTTTACTAAATCATTAACATTTTGCCAAAAGGTAAATTCACCCTTAAAACACACTCTTATGTTACATAACACGAAAAATAGAAATATAGGTTATGTTTCGTTATAATATCAAATTGATCAAATTGTTTTCGTTGCTTTCTAATCCTTTTAATTAACAATATAAATTTTACTGATTGAAAAAATAATTATTTTCAACCAAAAAGTTGGAGTAATTAAATAATCATAGAAAGAAACTACTAAGTAATTTAATTATTTTCAAAAATAATAAAATTCTTCTCCAAAATTCAATTATTTTCAAAAATTTTAATAAAATTATTGGGAAAATTTCAATTATTTAAGAAAAATTTAATAATATTCTACGCAAACCTATAATTATTTTCATAAAATAATGAAAATTTCACAGGAATTCAATTATTTACAAATTTTATTTATAAATTTCTTCGCAATCATTCAATTATTTTCATAAATAATAAAATTTCTTTGCAATCATTCAATTATTTTCGTAAATAATAACATTCTTTTTAGGAATGCAATTATTTTCATAAATAATAAAACTCATTCCAAAATTTCAATTATTTTTATTACAATTTTAATCGAAATTATCAAAAAATGTAATTATTCTTAAAAATTTTATTAAAATTCGTCAAATGAATTCAATTTTAAGAAATATGTGCAATTATTCAATAAATGGTTTTTTGTAGGTATTTAAATTTTAAATAATTGAATTCTAATAGAATTTTCTAATAAAAATTTATTTTAAAATGGATTTCAGTTAAAATTTTAGATTATAATTGAATATTATAAGCATTAGAGCGTGAATTTTTAAAAATAATTGAATTTTGAAATGGTTTGAATTTGAAATTTTTGATAATCTTAATTCTTCATTTTTTTAACTAACTTTTTCTGTGGAATTAATATTTTTGAGAAAGTTTAATTGCTGATCTTCTTTTTTTCTTTTTTTGAAATTATAGATTGTAAATCATAAACAAATGAATTTGAAAATTCTCAAAGAATTTTTGCAAAAATTATTAAAAATAATGCATTTATAGAAGAATTTTAGTTAAAAACACGAAAAAAAAATTAATTTTGGAACAGTTACAAATTATTGTAGAAATTCAATTATTTTTAATACAATAATTTTAATCGAATTCCTCGAAAAATGTAGTAATTATTCTTAAAAATTTTATTAAAATTCGTCGAAAGAATTCAATTATTTAAAAATTTGTTGATAACATTTTTTATGGGAATTGAATTTTAAAAAACATTCAATTATTCTATAAATTATCTATGTTTGTATTTAAGTAATTGAATTCTCGTAGAATTTTCTGATAAAAAATTGATTTAAACATGAATTTCAGTTAAAATTTTAGATAATAATTGATTATTAAAATCATTATACCATGAATTTTTGGAAATATAATTGAATTTTGAAATTAATTTTTTTTTTAAGTTTAATTGAACTTTTTATTATTTATTCTAATATTCATTTAATTGAAGAATTTACGAATAATTGAAATTCCGTAAAATTGAATATTGTAAACAAATGGATTTGAAAATTGTCAAAGAACATTTTCGAAAATTATTAAAAATAATCGATTTAAAGAAGAATTGTAGTTAAAAATGCTTGAATTATCTTTAATAATAATTATTATAAAACATGAAGAAATCGATCACTTCGAGTCGAAGACTCGGGAGTTATCGATATCTTCATGTTTTATAGTTATGAAAAATTAATTTTTACAGGTGAAAATATGACGTTAAATCCATGGTTATCGGGAACTTTTGATGCACTCTGGGGTGGATTGAATTCAACGCAAGACAATGAGCGATGTATAAAATTTGAATTAAATGCCGCCGATTGTTTAGAGGCTTATGGCAAGCATCATGCTAATAAGAAATGTATAGATTATATGGACGATTTACGTGAATGCATCTTTCGAAATAAGCAAAATATGCGAGTAGTATTAATGCGAAACGAACGAGCGAGACAATTAAAAGCTGGTGAAAGAGAAATATTTCATGCTCCTGGACCAGTAGAAGATGCTTACTAAATAATAGTTTAAAAAAAGAAAATAAAATCTCTTTTTTTCTCTCTATAATAGAATGAAAAAAAAGTAAATTAGTTTAACTTCTATAGAAAATGGTATAATTATAATTTGTAAATTTAATATTTTATTTGAAAATAAAATCCAATTTCAATAATTGTAAAATTATTCGAAAATATCAATAACTTCGTTTTTAAATCAATTATTTTTAATAATTTTCCAAAAAGTTCTTCTTGAGAATTTTCAAATTCATTTGTTTAAAAAAATATTCAATATTCAATTTTTCGGGAAATTTCGATTATTCGTAAATTTTTCAATTAAATACATATTAGAAAAAAAACTTGAAATAATTTTAAAAAAATTCAATTAAACTTTTAAAAAAAAATTAATTGTACAGAATTTTTAGTTAAAAGTATGAAAAATTCAAATTTTTAAATATTTTAATTTGAAACGTTTCCAAGATTCAATTATTTCTAAAAAATTCACGTTATAATGCTTTTAATATTCAATTATTATTTAAAATTTTAACTGTAATTCAATTTTTAAATCAATTTTTATTAGAAAATTCTACGAGAATGCAATTAATTAAATACAAAAATTATTTCGACGAATTTTAATAAAATTTTCCAGAATAATGTCATTTTTCGAAGAATTCAATTTAAAATTGTATTAAAAATAATTGAATTCCTAAAAAGAATTTCATTATTTATGAAATAATTAAATTCTAATGAAGAATTTTATTGAAATTTTTTAAATAATTGAATTGCAATGAAAAATTTTATTATTTATGAAAATAATTGAATTTATTAGAAAAATTTTATTAAATTTTTCTAAAAATACTTAAAATTTCTGCGAAAAATTTTGAACACTTTTAAAAATAATTGAATTCTTATGGTAAATATCGTAATTTATGAAAATAATTTAATTTTGCAAAGAATTTTATTGAATTTCCTGAAAATAATTGAATTTAACTGAAATACAATTTTAAATCCATTTTTATTAGAGAATTCTACGAGAATTCAATTATTCAAATACAAAAATAAATAATTTACGGAATATTTTTTAATATTAAATTCTTTTGACGAATTTCAATAAAATTTTCAAGAATAATTGCATTTTTCGAAGAATTCAATTTAAAGCTGTTTAAAAAATAATTGAATTCCTAAAAAGAATTTCAGTATTTATGAAATAATTGAATTCTTTCTACATTTAAAAAGAATTTTTCTTTCTAAAAATTAATTTTCTTTCTAAATAAAAATAAATTTTCGAAAACAAAAATCAATTTTTTTCCAAATTTAAAAAAAAATTTTCACTCTATAAATTTATTTTCTTTCTAAATAAATAAATGCTTAAATAAATAAATTTTCCAAAAATTAATAGAATTATTTTTCAAATCTAGAGAGAAGTATTTTCCCTAGGAATTTATTTTCATTCTAATAATTTTTTAAAATAATTGAAATTTTGACAAGAATTTTATTAAAATTTTTGAAAATAATTGAATTTTGGCAAAGTAATTGAATTTCTGTGAAGAATTTCGTTATTTATCAAGATAATTGAATTCCTTGGAAGAAATGCGTGAAAATTTAAGAATTAAAAAATTCAACTAATTTTAGAAGAATTTAAATTATTAAAATTTTTCAAAAATCTAAGATCTTTAAAATAATAAACTTCTTAGTAAAAAAAATATTTAAGTTGGAAAATTGATTTATTTTTATTTACTTAAAAAAGAAGAAAGTAAATTTTTGGGAAAAATAATAATTCTTTTTAAATTTTGAATAGAAAATCTGTTTAGTTATGGAAAAATTGATTTATTTCTTTATTTAGAAAGAAAATAAATTCGTAGGGAAAAAAATTCCTTTTTATTTTTGAAAAATTTATTTATTTTTTTGGTGAGAAAATAAATTCTTAGCGAAAAAAATCGTTTCTGTTCTGAAAAATTTATTTTTATTTGGAAGGAAAATAATTGTTTTTAGTTTTGGAAAATTTATTTATTTATTTAGAATTTTGTTAAAATTTTTCTTAATTAATTAAATTCTTTTGGAAAACTTTATTAAAATAGAAAATCATTATTGAATAGAGGAAAATTTTTGAAAATAATTGAAATTTTGCCAAGAATTTTATTAAAATTCAAATTTATTTTTGAAAATAATTGAATTTCGGAGAAGAATTTTATTATTTATAAAAATAATTGAAATGACAAAAATTTAATTAAAAATTCAAATTTATTTTGAAAATAATTGAATTTCGGAGAAGAATTTTATTATAATTTTGAAAATATTTGAATTTTTGCAATCATTTGTAAAATGTGCGTGTAATTTGAAATTAAATAAATAAATATTAACCCCGAAAAGAATAAATTCAATGCGCGTGAAATATTTTTTACTTCCACACCGGCAATTTGTCGGTAAAAAAAAAGAAATTGTCAAAGAACATTAATAGTCAAGTAAAGTAAATAATTACTTAATAATCCTTTGTTTAATTTGTTTTAAAAAGTGTTTAAAACTCACCAAATTCTAGAGAGACGATGATTCCTAACCTAAAAATCACGTCTGGTCTGATCGCAATTTTCACATTTTGAATTTCGTTCGATTGGTAACATTATATCTTTCATTGTAGTTATTTCGCGATTAAATTTAAAAGTCACTATTAACAAAATGATGATCACTATATTCACTATTAAAGCGAATTAATATAAAATAAATAAAACGTCACCAAATTTCGTTGTTGGTGTCTGTAATTTTGTATTTTGACATCACTCCGAGTTGCCGACAGATGTCGAAGACAAAAAAAAAGAGTAAATTAAAATAAAATTCTGCTTGTAAATATAAAAAAATAGATTTTAAAACAAATTTATTATTCGATTATTAATGAACTTCTATTTTAAAAAATGGTATAAACTTCTTTTTTGTAAATTAAATCATTCGAATTTCGCGCTATTTCGCTTTCCAGTTTCCACACAGTTGGTACTACTGAACCTGCTGCAAAGTGCGGATAATTTCACTCTATGTATCGTTTCACCGCATTTTCGCCAAACTGACAAAGTTGCTCAAATTCGTCGATTAAATTATCAATTATCCGTTAAAATAATATCAAAAAGTAAAAATAGTAATATTCGAGTCGAGATACAAATGCAAAACAAATAAACACGGTAAAATACGGGAGTAATCTTGCTTCGCGATTGTCTAAATCCATCGAATTCACGAAAAATGAATAATTTATATTAATCAATTATCTAATTAGTTTGAATTTAATTGTTTTTTGATAAAAAAAAAATACCTAAAATTCAATTTTATCCGCGAATATTATAATTTTTACAAGTTTCACCTTTCCATTGGCAGATGTCGCCAATTTGCAAATTCGGTAAAAGATGGCGCGAGGGGATCGGTGGGGAGCCGGTTCATTTAGTACGAAAACGAAGGCGCACCTGTCTGTCATCGTCGCCGACTGTCAATTTCAAGACGCTTTAGCGACAATATCATTGCGTTGAAATAAATTATCATCGAAAAAAAAGTTATTGTGTACTTATCACTAAGTGTAAGTGTGAAAAAAATTGTGTCAAAAATTCGTGAATCATTAAACGGTTAAATTTAATACAATAAAAAATCGAAACAATTATACTCCGAGCATTGATCGTAACCAACGGAAAATACGGACATTATTTCGTCGCGCGGTTTTGAAACGCCGGTATACGAAATTTTTTTTTTTCTTTGAGACGCTGGACGCGCAAATCGCGGGTAAATAATTTATCGAAAATTTATATTAAAACAAGTGTTTAATTACCCGCTGGCGGGAGTATGTATTATTAATTATTGACTGAAAAAAGAGTGACATATTTGGAAAAAACATTTTGACAGCTCTCTCAGAAGAGTCTCTCTCGGTGTGATTGTCTTCGTGTTTATTGTGTGTGAGTGTGCATGTGTGTGCGAAGAGTAAACAAAAACTTTTGGTCCAGGGACAATAATTCTTCACAGAATCATTAAAAAATGGAACAACTTAATGGTGAGTAATTTATTAAATTTTGTATTCATTATTTTCATTTTTGTCGCTGTCAATTTTGTCGCTGCATTTATTTTTTTCACTCTGAAATGCACGTGGTTGATTACCGCAAAAGCGGCGCGGGACCCGAGATATTCAGTATATAATGTATATATACGGGGTCTACATAACTCGTTTCAAGGAAACTCTCAAATCTCCCTTGTCAGTTGTCATATTTTTTTGTTATTGCCATTCTTTCGTCAATGACTGCAACAAAAAAAATAGCAAAAAAAAATCTTTTCTTTCCCTCCGGTGAATTTTTACCATCACATTTTCCCAGAAAGGAAAAGTGAATTTCCGGCGTTATATTTCCATTAGAAGTGTACAAAAGAATGAAGCACGTGGTTGGTTTAAAATTTTATTTTCCTCTCCATTAACTGTCAAATTAAACACTTTCTGTCAAATTAAATATTTGGAATATTTTTTTCGACATTTTTTTCATATTTTAATGGGAGGAATTTCGTGTTTTTTTCTTTTGTTTTTTTTTTTTTTTTGACGTATCGGAGAACAAAAGAATTTGCCATTTTTCTTTGTTCTGTAACCGAATTTTCGTTTTTGTTTCAGTAAGTAGTGGTGGGGAGGTAAATTTTTGAGAATGAGAGACAAAATTTAATGAGTAAGGGATAATTTTGACAGCAATTTCAGAAAAATATTGACATATTCGAACTGTGGGGATTTAAATTCAAGATGGGAAAATAACCTCAAATTTTTTGTCATGCACGTGTTGGGAATATTCGTTTCTCGTTGACATTATATTTCAATCATTTCAATTATAGTTCAATTCTGTAAATAAACTTGTTTTTTATTAGTAATTAAAAATATTTCTCTTTAGTTTTTAAATTCAGATGATTTTTTTATTATTACTTTTCGTGATTTTTACAATTGTGAAAATGACAGGAGCAAGTTTTTACCGAAACGAAAATAATTTTCTTTTATACATTCATTATTTATCATAATTTTTTTCATTACTTAATTTTTTTTGCCTTAATAATTTCTAGTATTATTTTTTATAATTTATTATTTTCTAAATTTTCTATATTAGGTATTTCGTATTTTCATTTCTTGCTATTTATCAACTACAATATTAATTTATATATATTTATCAATAATATTAATTTGATATTCAACAAATATTTTTTGTTGAGTCAATAAAATTTCAATTGAAAAATTATAATTTCTTTCTCTATTTGTTAACATAAATATTGTCTAACATAGAGATTTTTGGAAAAAATAAATAAGATCTATAGATATTTGTAAAGCACAGTTTAGAAAGGATTGTTTAAACAGGAAAATTTTTGACAGTGAAATATTTTTTTAAGAAATACTTTTTTTATCAGAATATATAGTGATTTTTTCAAAACTGTAAAATAAACTTATTTATCGCGATATGATTATTTCTTATCTCCCTTTAAGGGTCACTTTTAAAAGCCTCTCTCATAATCTCACGTTTTATGTCTTTGGAAAAAAAATTTAGCGCCCATAATTTTCTCACTTTTGACCGTATCAATTTTTTACTTTTCATAATAATAATAATTATGATAATAATAATAATTCGCACTGAAAATTATAATTGTGTAGAACAATAATAATAATAATTGTATTTATTATTTTTAATTTTTTACTTATTATACTTTACAATTTTCATAAACGAACTACTTCAAAATAACATTACTAAGAATTACAATAATAAATAAGAATATCGAAAATAATAATAATATTAAAAATATACTATCATTCAGGGTGTCCACATGTCAGTAAAGTCAGGGAAATGACAGAAAAAAAATTTTTTGTCAGAGAAATTAAGGAAATTGAGACTTTTTTTCGACTTATTTTCAAAAATTGCGACTTTTCTTCGAAATATTGCAACAAAGTACCACATTTTTTAATAAAAATAAATGCAAATTAAATTCATTTTTTAAGTACGAAAAATAACCTATCTGTATAATAAATATATTTTTGAATAATTGAAATTTTCAATAAAATTTAATTCGAAATGATTAATTTTTTTCATGTATTTTGTAGGAGGTTAAAGTTTTGAACGTTCAAATGAACGAAATTTATTTATTTCTTCTTCAAATTAAATTTTTATTACTATAATTTTGCGTCACTATTAAGCAAATTAATTATAATGTTTCTAAATGTAAAATTTGAGTTTTTAATTTGAATTGTAATCAATAATCTATGAAAATATTTTTAACAAAAAATATTTCGTTCATTTGAACGTTCAAAACTTTTTGTTCTTTATTTTGTTACAATTTTTGAAAATATCAAATACATATTATTTTATGAAAATTTTTTGATTCAATTTCTTATTTTCGAATAAAGTGGTTAAAAATTTATAAAAATTTACTTTTTTAGACAACACGGACAGTTACAATTATTATAAAAAATAGAGTTTTTGTATTTAAATAATTGAATTTTAGAAGAACTTTCGAAAAATCATTTAAAATAATTGATTTAGAAATATAGTTTATTTGAAAATATTGTAGAAAATAATTGAATTCAGGTAGAGTTATAATTATATTTTATATTATTTTATTATAATTAATTTTTAGAAATTATTAAAATTCATTAATTCTATAATCATTATCCGTAAACTTTCATATTTTCCTGTAAAAAGAATTAATGTTTTAAATATTATTAATTATATTAATATCATAATTATTAGAATATTACTAAGTTTAAGTAATAACAATAATTTCTTTTTTAAATTTAAATAATTAATTTAATAAATAGTAATTATTTTTTTAAATTTTTCTGCATTTTATAAAATAATGTGGAATAGGAATACACAAAATTCATTTACGATAATAATTTTTATATTTAATATAAAAACTTGTCTAAATACAAATTAACAATTATAATTATTATTAATAATAATTTCTATTTCAAGGAATATATTACAATATAGTACAAAATAAAATTTCTGAATATTTTACAATAATCAATTTAAAATATAATCATAGTTATATGAATAACGAAAAACCAGTTATGAAAAGCGACTTTAATTTAAGATTTGCTTAGGGAGGAAAAAGTAGCATTACTTTTTAAAGAAAAGTTTCCTTTTGCATGTGCTCTCACTACTACTTGATTTGTTTTCTGTTCTATGCAACCATTTAAACTAATTTTACCTTTTAAAACGGAATTAAGAAAAGATGATATCGATTGAATGTACTGCTCAACAGATAATTTAAGAAATAAATTAAGTGTCTCAGACCTGTGCAATCTACATTGAAATATTTCGCCGTTAATTTCTTTACTCAAGAATAGTAAAGTGTTTTCTACAATTTTTTGAGAATGCAGAACAGGACTAAAAACTCTTCTCAAGATCGATTTTACATCTAAATAAATTCCTTCTAATTTTGATGTGTTTCTTTTCGTGGAATTAGAAGGTGAAAAGGCCAGTTGATCTAATGCACTTTTACACTGTTCGCATGAATTTAATGTTGGCAATTTTGTTACCATATTTTTGACAATGAAATCTGTGGATATTGTTATCGTGCCTTTTTCAGGAATAGGATCGGATTGACAATAATTGAATTTTAGGGTTTGAGTTGGCATTGTATAAGATGGTCTAGTGCAATTTTGAATATGAGAGTCTCCAGAATCAAAATAATTTTGCCACGAAAGAGCAAAACTACTACCATCATCAATACAATTCGCGCCTTCTGAATGAAATTTACTT